GGACAGAAGAATTTAAAGGGTGCTGGATGATTGAATCATGAATTTCCTGTCAATTCCGGCAAGATCGGATCTTCGAATGGATTCTGCAACGTTGCAAAAATTAGGGTAGACTAATAAATTCCTCAATTTTCCTAAAACCATTTGGCACCGCCACAAATAGCAATGACATTGCTATTAAGTATAGATTTTTTTTATCGATCTGACCTGACGAAATCGGGAAAAATCGTCCAAATGTTGACTGAGAATTGCTACTTTATAGCTATATTATTGCAATGTTTTTTACAATTTTATACCTATAAATTGATACATTATATCAATTTTTACGTTGAAAAATGCTACTTGGGCTCTTGAAGAGTGGAGAGCTCTATACTGTTGCATACCGACAGGAGAGAAAAGGTAAGCGCTTCCTCAATTATTGAGGAAGTTCCACACATCTGATGCAAAAACATAGCAACCAAGAAATTGATAAGCAAAGGAGGTGAGATGTTGATGAAGGAAAATGATTTCTTCACAGCGAGCTCATGTGTGGATCATTCTCTGATGAGTCTGTTTCGTGTTTGTCAAAGACCAAGGAGGTAGGTAATTATTTTGTGTAGATTTAAAGACTGACATTACTGTAAGAAGGGCTTGGAATGTTTCTTTTCTGGACCTCATCAAGGGCTGATTTGCAATTAGTAATCTTGATAGCATATCATGTACCTATGTTGACTCATAGAAACCGTTAAGACTTCGCCAATCATACATTTTTCAATGAATTATTAAACTTCCTCAATTGACACAGACATCAATGCATAGAAAACGAGATAAGGGACGAAAATATTTCACAGTATACTGACTTACTTAGGAAAGTTCAATGCTGTTGGAGTAGGAGAGTGTTCGATCAAAGCACCGACAAAAAGATGATGATAAAAAAACTAAGTAAAACTATGAGGAAAAGCGTCCAATCGTCTCAAATATTCTCTTTCTCGAAGTATTAGTATTGAAGTGATAATGAAAAACACAGAAAATATGCTCATTGCATTAATGCGTGCATTTCGCGTCACGTCATTACTGAAGTCACTTGTTATCATAGCACAGCACTTTATCAACAAAACACAACAAAGATTAGCATCGTTGCCAACAGTCAGCTGATGGGTGTAAATAAAGTATTTCTTTTGATATGGCAGCGTCGTATTCCCCATTCGTTGTTTTTGTTGTTGTCTGAAACAGATGATAACACATAAAAATTTTCAGCAATTTCGGATCCTGAAGTGTCGTGTGATCGTGTTACAAACTACCATCCTTCGTGTTTTTTTTTAAATCTTTCGTAGTAATCATCTGGAATCTTTTTCAGGGTTCCACGCGTTGGAAGTGCATCTGATCATACAGAATATTTGGATTTCACAATATAATCGAACTGTTATCAGTGTCCTGACCGTGCACATCCCAGCTGATCACAGAAATCATGTTGATCTTTTCCAATTACCAGAATTTCCATTTGGAGTATAGCTTTAGTTTTTAAGCGTGACAAACACACAAACATTATCCCGACCTTATTTCTTTGAGGTAGTTCACGGAGCTGTGATCTTCTAACTTTCTCAAACCTGACCATGGAAGAGGGTAAAATGGTCATCGATGTCGACGAGGCATTAGATGAAGAAAACATGATTATCAACGAAACAGATGGATTACCTAGTTTAAATCATTACAAGTCTGAAACAGAGTATGCCCAAAGCAGAGAACCATCAACTGTTGAAGAGCTCTTAAATGATGAAGATTTGCCCACATCTTTAATTGTAACGAATCTATCGAGCGATGTATTTAAGTCTGATACTTTGAAGGTATATTTATTTTATTTATATTTTAGAATTTGAATTTGCTCTTATTTTGTAATAACTAGCATGTAAATGCACCAAACATTTATCAGGAATATAGTTGAGATGAATGCTTACTCTGTAGCATGTTCGGGTAGCGGACACTAAAGGTCATGCAGTGAAATAAGCAGTAAACAAATAAAACAAAAAAAATTGATTGACTATGAACAAAATTCTAAACTATGAATAGCCAATGAGTGTGAATAACTAAGCTCGTGAATTTTAAATTGGTAATATTTTAATGTATTCAAAGCTGTGCGAAGAAACGGAATGGTCAAAAGTTCATTAAGAAATTGAGGTAGAACACAATGTATGGTTCTTTCTTGAATCCTTGAATTAAAAATTGTACCAAGCCAATGCATCTTGCTGTATTGGACACAGTGCCCTAGTCCAAAAAATTATTGGCTGTTTGGACGACTCCTTTTCTTTTAAGTCTCTTGCCAGGTCGGATTTACTCGTTCTTACGCCCAGTTAAAATGTGCTCCTAAATTTCGAAAGTGATTTTAAGTTTATTCTTTACTTCCTCTTTTATTTTTTGTTTTTTCTTCTACTTAATTTTTCATCAGTATGAGATTGAGAAGCAAAAAACTGGAAAGGTTTTTGAAATCTGCCCTATTGCCTTTTTTTGCATGTTTTTGGTAGTATATATGGATTGCATCTTGCAAAAAGGAACTAAGAGCATTCCAATGTTGCTAAGACTGTGCAACTCTTTTTACCTTGCAAGTATAAACTGATCATGGAAACAAATGTTATCTTTACTCCCAATAAACTATAAATTCAAGATGAAAATTACCTTTGTAAATTTAATTTTTTGCATGATTCCAGTAATTTTATTGCAACGAATGATAGTTTCACAATCCTAGTTACATTGGAATGCTTTTGGTTCCCTTCTGCAAAATGCAATCCATATATAAGGCACTGCGGATCAGAAAGTTAATAATCTGTACTTTTATTTTGACAGCAAAAAATTGAAGAAATATTCACTAGGTTCGGTGAGCCTGTTTCATTTCACTATTTCCGAAGTTTCCGGCGCATGCGAGTGGATTATGGTTGCTCAGCAGCTGCTGCGAAAGCCCGCATTCATCTGCATCAGACACGTTTCGGCGATAACATCATCAATTGTTACTTTGCTCAGGTATTGGTTGCTCAGGTTTTGATTATGATGGTCCTTTGCATTAACTTCATCTTTTAGCAGAATCTCAAAATGTAGCTCTGAAATTACATGCTTGTTCTAGCCTCTCTGATGCCATACATTTTTTTGTCCTTTTTAAATCATCATCATAACCAGAGAATTTATTAGCTGAAACTTATAAATATTTGGCTATTGGCAGATGATAATCTGCAAATGAGCCCTTATCCTTAAATTTTCAAATTATGGCATATATTTTCATTTGCTGAGGAAATGTCCCTTGAGTGTGCTGAGCACCACTAGGTGGTTAAGTTAAATTATAGTCGACGATGCAAGAAGTACCTAGCAGCTAAGAGGTGGAATGAAGAGAGCAGTTGAATTCATAGTTATAGGTTTGATTGGCTTTTGCAAGTGCAGGTCCTTTAAATGTCCCCGTATACGTGCGTTTCAACCCTCTAACGATAGATCCAACCGCTCTTCTGAACTCCCCCTCTGCTGCCACTGTTTTCATTGTAGACTGTAGTTCTCTTTATAAAAGAATGAAACATGGTAAATGGTCAGAAATTTTAAAAAAGTACTCACTTACATGTCAATTAATCATTATTGCGGACGTGTTTCGCTCCTTGGGCGGGAGCAAAACGCGTCGGCGATAATAATTAATTGATACGCAAGTGAGTACTTTTTTAAAATTTCTCAATCATTTCTAGTGCGGCCTCTAAAAGCAGAAAAGTTTTTCCGTTTTAATTTCGTTAATGGTTCATGGTTATTAGAGGTTTCTAAACATTGCAATTGAGATTCGCAGTTTTTGCATTTAGCCAATTATAGATTATTAATTGTTTAGTATACAGTGTTTTTTTTTTTTGTGTGTATTAGCCTGTGACACCCATTGATGTAGCTGACCGGCATTTACAACTACCAGCACCCGTAAAGCAGTTCCTAATTTCTCCCCCTGCATCTCCGCCTTTGGGTTGGGAACCAAGAGAAGAAAATGAGCCGCTAGTTAATTATGATCTAATAGCTGCAATTGCAAATTTAACACCTGGTAAGTAGTATTTGGGCATTTCGTACATTTCAGAAGCGCCGACATTGATAATTTGATCTCTGACGACATGCGAATAAGTTTTGGAATTACTTTGTACTTAGGATGTGCACAACTTTTTTAAGAATGTCGACAGATATTTGACAATGATGATAAATGAAGAATGATGTGTTGCAGAGAGTATAGAGGGCAAGAGATCCAATTAAATAGGGCAACACTAAAATAGAAGTTAGCTATGTGGGTAAAAATTTGAGTAAAGTTGATGTGAGAGTATGCAAATCAGCATCATCGCTGATCAATGAAAAAACATCAGATGCCAGCGCAATTGTGAGAGGTAAGTATCCAACTACTCATTTATGCAGGTAACATGTCTCTAAGTTTTTCACCTCACAATTGGACCCATAATCATCTGTACTTTCTGATGCGTTGGATAAAAATTATTTTAGATTAAGTAGAGGACATCATAATGTTAGTAATAATGGTATTGCAATTTTCCTACTTTAAATTTGTATTAATTTTTGATTGTTGCTCATCAAAAGTTCTTGAAACCAGTTTTTTCTATCATTCATATTGTCAGTTTTGTGAAAATGATTACGGCAGTGCAGTTTTATGCAGCTGAAATTTTGGCTACTTGCTCAACAGCTGCAACATTGGTCAATCTACACAATTTACCCTTGATGATGTCTGTATTTTGAAGAAGAATTGATGATTAGTAATTTATGTGTGTGTATTGTTATCAGCTGCTCTGAGCCACTTGTTTTCTTTTCTGCAGGTAAAATGCATGAGCTTCATGCTGCGTCAAGTACGCAGCCAGGTATTGTTGTTCATGTGTGCGAAGATGGTTTGAGTTCTCAAGCCACTGATAAGCAGCGAAAACCGCAAATCCTTCCTACAAGTTGTCCGAAATACAACTGAGAATCTCTCATCTTTTGTTTCCTGCTCCGTGTCTAGTGTTTTTCAATTTTACCTCTGTTGAATGTGTGCTTCTAGGAAGCATTATCCCCTATTTTTGTACCCTTACTTTAATGGCAATTTTTGAAGCTCATTGTTGGTCCAATTCTGGAATTCTGGTCTGTTTCATTGTTAGAATTGGAGCCCTTGAGCTTTTTAGAAATAGGAAGACAATGAGGATTTGATTTTTCTTCGGGACTAATCTCTTCATGAACACAACTAAGAAAGCGTTCATGAATTACGCAATGCTCTTTTATGGCATTTTTGACCCCCCCCCCCTCCTTCCATGTAATGCTTTTGTGACATAGGTTCCTATCTTTAAAAATGTAGAAACAAAATGGCGTAATGCTCTCTTTGATTTCCCCTCCCCCTAGAGCATTACGTAATTTATAAATGGCCTCTAAAAAAGTAGCAGAAAGTATTTTAGATGGAATGGAAGGATATTAATTGAGTTCCGATTGGCTGAAATTTAGTCAATTTGGTTGACTGGGAGAAAATCATTTTTACTACCATTCCTTTCAAAAGTGTAATTTGATTCTCAAAGTTACATGTATTTTTCTAAGTTCTCACTCTTTTACTTGAATAAGTATAAGGCAGTTGGCGCTGGCTTATCATAGAAACAGTTTAAAATTGCTCAGCAGAAAGGTTCCATTGTCGATCTCTCACGCAAGTTGGAAAAATGGATACTATGTGACAATGCTGATACATAGTAAAGAGTGACAATCATTTGGATGAAGAATACTTCGTGTAGTCAACAAAATCACTAAAATCAAATGATGAAGAAAAAGTTTTTGAAGAGGATTCTGTTTTGTCTCAGTGCCATGAGTGGGGTATGATGACAGGCAGAGAGAACTTAATCATTGTCAACATGTGTCAACTAATTTCAAATTGACCAGCCTTAATTGAAGTGTCATTTAAATTGTAAAACATGATAATAGAACTTACCTATGTGAAGGGAGTCTATCCACACAGAAAGTTCCGAAGAATCTGTTTCATGGAAAGTCATTCTCCATGTATAAAAGTGTTTGAGCAGCCAAAACTAGCTCTCAACAATCCTAAAATCTAATCCATCATGCAAGCAAATTATATCTCTCATTGCAAGCACCTGTTTCATCCAATTCTAAATAGATGTCAGTCGGAATTGATTACTGCCGGTAATGAATTTCGAGTCATTGGTATTTAAAATAAAGATAATAAATTAAAAAAATTGCTGCAACAAAGAATATATTATTTTTCTCATTGACTTCATTTATAGAAGGTTTCGCACCATATCCATTGGCTAATTATGTATTTTAAGAGATTATATCTCTATGATTTATGAATTTAAAGAAACAGCTAGTGCCAGATTATGATACTGATTGTGAGTAGAGGCAAGACTTCTCAGTCTGTGCTGCATGGAGTTTAAATAGTTTTGAAAGTTCTAGATTTAGTTTCAAAAAGTTGGAACCTAGGTCTAAATTAATTTTGACTGACTTTCTGCTCTCTCAAAAGTTTTGAAAGCACTTTTTTTACATTTTTTATTTTCATTTTTTTTTTAAATTTTTTTTCTCCTTTTCTTTTTCTATTTTTTGTTGCAAGGCAGCAGAATCTCAGTCTTAATTCCTACGAATGGCTGTTCCCACAATATGCTTCTGATTTTTTTTATTTGATTTATTTTTATTATTTCATTTCATTTTCATTTTGGTTTTATTTTCTTATTTTTTATTTGATCTTTTTATCTCCTGTATTCATGTTATTTTCCATATCAGAAATCTAACATTTGAGCCACTGTCATTCTATGTATCTTTTTTGCCTTTAGTATCAACCTAAATGTATCTTTGTGAGATGTACAACCAGTTCTGTATTCCTTTACATTAACGAAGTATTTTTCAAACTTTCAAAAAGTAGTAAAACATTTAAGATGTAAACAATGTGATATACTTTACGGTTAATCCAGAACAATTGCTGCATAGTCACAGATCTGCATCACTTTTGGTACTGTCATGGACCAATAGCGGGATTAAGTGTATGTTGAAGTAACCTTTGATCATTGATTTAGTAAAGGTTACTGGATTACAGAATACTTTCATAACAAGTGGAAGCCTTCTATTTTTTTCAAAGATATTCTTTAAAAGTTCTCAATTAAATAGCAGGATATTGCAAGATGTAGTACAGCAGTGAGTTCTTCTCTTCTTAGGGTTTATACCCTAATAGATATTCTGTCAACTCCTCATTAAATTTTTACATATTGTAATGCGCTTTGGATCACTGCCCCTTGCCCTGCGGGGAAAGAGGGTTTTTTCTGAGGGCAATAATAACAACGAATATGGTTAAGCAATACATTGTTTTTAATGGCTTGTATTTAGTATGTTGACCTGAATGGCTTTGTTTTGTTAAAAAAGGATTAATGGCCTTATCATGCAAAAGTAGGATTTCATTTCGGCAGAGAAACTACTGTCCTTCTTCACAGTTGTAATTGCTCCATAGTTGTCCATATCCTTAGTTTCTGAGCATTCTAAAGAGTGAACGACTTACATTTAGACAAAAGTCATCTCGATGTATGCAAAGCCATGGGTGGTTTTTCCAGAGAGTGTCACATTTAGGTAAAATTTAATTTCTTCAACATGTTTTTGTCTCACTATAATTTTGAGTGCTTGTAAAAACTGAGCTTTATTAAGTTAAATAGAAACATAGGTTTCTTGAAAACTTAGAGGTATCTCCTCGTTGAGGAAAGAACCCAAAAAAAATTAGAATTTCTGAACCTAACTTTTTCTGACTTTAGTTTGCTTGGGTGCCTCCATCTTAAGATTATTCAAAATCAGTTACTTTTTCCAAACAGCAAGTTTACCCAGGACATCCTCTGTGCAGTCTGACTCATGTTGCAGTTCATAAACATTGTTAATGATGATTGTGGTAAGATAGATAATGCAAGTTTCTAGATTTTAAGTCCCTGTTGTGTTGAAAAGTGTCCCCATTTTTTCTCAACTGTTCATCTCCCTCTACCTCATAACCCTGGTTTCCTCTCAATCTGAGGTTTTGTAATTACTTTGAACTTTTTCTGTTATAAATTTCTGGCTCAAGTAAACCGATTAAATGAAAGATTTTTCCGCCCATTTTTAATTTGGAAATGTCCATTCAATTCAATAAAATTGCGTTTAAACTATAGTGTAACAGTATCAGAGTGACATTCATAAACCTACAATGCTATTGAATAGCCAAATCTCTTTAATAGATCAGAATATGAAGCCTCTTTCTTCCATCTGGCTCACAACTGTTCAGCCACTTTGTGAGTCTTATCCTTTTAAATTGAGTTAGTTGCAAGCAAGTCATACTTACCTATAACGTTTGGTGTATGGTTCAATGTAGGTATTCTTGGTACAGTTTTTGAATTTCATACAGTAGGATTAAATCATAGTTTAGATAGATTTTTTAAAAAAAAAATTGCATTATGTGGAGAAATAGTGGAAAATAGAAGTATGCACAAGAACCTGTAAAAAAGCCATTTGTCAATTGGAGGTACCCGAGTGTCATTTGTATTGTTTTTGAACTCTCAATTACATGTTTGTTTTTTATTTTGTATTTATATTTCTTAATCTTTTCTTATTGTTTTCATTAAATTTTGTAGTCAATTATTATTTTTTCTTGGTTTATAATGAAGTTTCTACCTTTTTTTTTTGGAATACAATTGTTTTTAAGTTTTCCTTCCTTTAAAATAAGTTAATTATCTCTTACATTTTCAAAATTTTATTTTTGCCGTGACTGAATTTTATCAAGGTAGATTTTCGAAAAGACATGGGAGAAATAAGGTTTTCTTTTTGCCTCAACTAGCCGCTCCTTTCTGTTGCGTTTATCATCCTGCAGTTCAAGAGACTTTTTTTTTCTTGCATTAAAATATAAGTTTGAGGTACCCACTCTAAAATATACTAATGAAAGTTAGGTACTTATTGGATAATTTCTCTGTAATTGTATTTTTGTAAAACTGAATTCAGTCTTGGAATATTCCATCTCTAATAATAATCTCTAGTTGTGAAGAAAAATTTAGAAATAGAAATTTTCATTTTTCAATGCATTGCTTTGTTCCATGAGAAAATCGCGATTTGATTTTAAATTCTAAATTCTATCTCTTAGTTATTTTTTTTGAGAATCTGAGTGATTGTATTTAAGGGTTACTTCAATTTTTTTTAAAATTTGTTGAAATTTCTGACTGAATGAACTGAAATACAATCACAAGACACATGACACTCGAGCATGTGGTTTAAGTTTTTGTAAAAAGTTAAGGGAAAGTTTCTCCCGGAAAATAAGGTCTCAATTCTCATTTCACCGATTCGGTCACGTTTTCAACAAATTTTGATCTGTTTACTTGACTCAATAGCTGTTATATGTATGGAAAGTCTATCTATGCTCCACAGTAAATTAGCTTGCTGGAAAATGCATCTCTGATAAAAATCTAACTTTCATTCGTAGGTCTGAAACATATATTTTAAGAATGTTTTTGTCATCTGCATTTGAATTGAAATATATACCAAAAGTATTTCTTTAATATTCCTATTTATTCCCCCTCCGACCGTATTTTTTTCTTTTCGAAGAGACTGCGTCAGGGCCTTCCATTTTTTACAGATACATGGATGGGTGGCTCCTTAGCCACAGTAAGATCGGACTAATCAGAAGTTAAAGTCGTAGCTTTTATCCGGAGAATCTTACAATTGGTTCAGACTGTATAGGTACTCCAATCAGAAATCAGGGTTTTGCCCCATGGTTCTAAAGCTGAGGGACTGTTTCCCATAATAATTCGGAAACAGTCAGGGAATTTTGCTGCATATCGACGGTGTATAAGTCGGCAATCACACAACTCGGTTTGCGACATCGCAGACTTCCTGTCATACTTCATTTTTTAAATGGAAAACTACTCAACGGCAATTCTTTAAAACTGCCCTGATTTGTCTTCTCTGTGCGAAGAAAATTCTGCAAAAACTTGTAGGAATGATGTCAATTTGTTCTCCTTTAAAAAAACAACATAGAGACGGAGATTTTCAGACACCGCAAACGAGATAAGTGATTGCGGTTTTACGTCGTCGATGTATTTTTTCTCAAGATACGTACTAAATTTGCGCTCAGAATTGTCCGTGATGAATATTTTTTATCAGAAACCACGTGAATGAAAGAGAAAAGAACCATCAAAAAGCCAGACAAAAGTCGGGGATTTTTATGTTCAAAATATCTGAAAAGTCGAGGAATTTTGAAGTCCAAGAGGCTTGTAAATGCGGTGAGAAATTGCCGCACGAATAGCCTCAATTTTATACATATATTCATCATTAATTTACTTTTTTTTTCAAATTGAAACTGAAACCGCCGTATCTTCGCGCAATGACGACTTATGAATGCAATGAGACACATTTTGTTGCAACAAGCTGAAAAAGATTGAAGGCCCCCGGCTTTTTCAATGGTCAGTTCCGGCGATGCAACTATTCGTGTTCTCAGGATGTCCACGTTGCATACACAAAGAATTGCAGGCGTTCTGTTTTTCCCAGGCTCAACGCATGACTGCGGTCGGTGGTTTTCTAAGTACGTCCCATTCACAATCGTGCTCACCATAAATCCTCGGGAGTCCGAATGAGCAGTGCTTCATCACGGCAGCGTAGCAAAATGGTGCAAATTGCGGAAATGTTACCTGTAGAAATTTGGGGGATTGACATCAGCGATGCCTTTGTGAAAATTTAATTTTTTCGGTGGAGAATGTGCAACTTTTGGGAACGCTGCCACGGTGCGACATGGGTCATTTGAATTCTGGCAATGAGGATTTCACGGTAAAAACGATTGTGATGCCATATCGACGGTGAAACTACCAAACCACGTATCTCGTTTGCGGTGTTTAAAAATCTACGCTCGCATTTTATTTTTTTGAAGTAGACCAAATCAATATCATTCCTTGAAATTTTTACAGAATTTTCTCCGCACGAAGAGGAAAAATCACAGAAATTTTCAAGACTGGACGTTAAGTAGTTTTTCATTTAAAAAATAAAGAATGACAGGAAGTCTGCGACGTCGCAAACCGAGATACGTGGTTTGGTAGTTTCACCGTCGATATAGAAAACTCTTGAGGACTGAATTACATTTTGAAATAAGGAACCACTATTTTTGGCCCATATTAGAAACAACATACTTGCCATTGGCTTCCCTATGCAGACATGTGCTTTTATGGGAGAGCCAGAGTTAGCGGTTCCTTATTGAAAAATGAAGGGCTTGGAGGACAAAGTGCGTAAGTGCAGTTTTTGTTATTTCAAATTTCAAGAAATATTTGTGCAAAGTTTCAAAACTACATGGAGCCTTATGGCAGAAAGGAAGTTCGAACTCACTTTTTGATGCTTTAAAGTTGTGTTTTAGTTGTGAATTTTTCACAGAATATATTTTCAAACTAGCTGCAGTTGTGTCCATGAGTATTTCAATTTTTCGAAAACTGTCCTTATGCGTCTTGTCCTCTAAGCCCCTCAAGTGTAATCCAACTAACAACAGCAGCCATTAATTTAACAATCAACATAAAAGGCATCGAAAAAGTTCTGCATTCCCTCTGCTTTTGAGAAACTGAATTTTTAGTACATGTACTGAAGAAGGGCTGCAATAGTGCTTAATATTTGCTGCCCAGTTTTAGTTGACACCTATCTAAGCGCGACGCACACGCAAGGTTCCTGTTTTGGAAAATTGGCAGTTTCGAAAACGCCTTCAAATGTGGCGTGATACCTCACGCGTTCCGGAGCGTACGTATAGTTGTATCATTGCGCCTTAGCAATGCGAACTAAGATTGATATTAAATCAGCCTCCACACTGCGGCCTCGTCAGTGTTCCTTTACCGCTGTTGCAGTTTTGACCGGGAGGACAAAAAGTGTTCAAGCTAGGCCTATATTAAGCAATTTGATCATTTTTTAGAAGGATTAAAAATAAACAAGCGCAGGAAGAAATATAACTAAAAAATATGGACTCAATTTAACAATCAACATAAAGGCATCGAAAAAGTACTGCAATTTTTTTTTTGCTTCTGAGGAACTGAATTTTTAGTACATGGACTGAAGAAGGGCTGCAATAGAGCTTAATATATGCTGGCCAGTTTTGGTTGACGCCAATCAATGCGACGTACGGTTCTGGATCACTGAAATTGGCAAATTCGAAAACGCCTTCAAATTTGGCGTGATACCTCACGCATTCCGGAGCGTACGTATAGTTGTATCATTGCGCCTTAGCAATGCGATTTAAGATTGATATTAAATCAGCCTCCACGCTGCGGCCTTGTCAGTGTTCCTGTACCTCTGTTGCAGTTTTGACTGCAAATTTTAAGTGTGCTCAAGGTAGGCTTGTATTTAGTGAAAAGAAAATATATTAGAATGATTAAAAATTAACAAGCGCAGGAAGAAACATAAATATATCAATCTGGATCAAAATTATCAATCCGGATTATAATCCGAAGTTAATTATTACAGGAGAAGATCGTAGAAAAGGACCCCTAACAGTTTCCAGCTCCTCATCTGTCTGGGACGGAATAATTAAATAGAAAAGACTCTGGACTTTAGCGGTTTTCGCATGATTCGTGAAAATCTCCGAGTTTTGGAACCGTTTGATACTTTCAAAATTTATTCTAAAGATATTAAAACGGTAGATTATCATTCAAATAAAGTTGTAAAACTAAAATTCTTGACAATTGCGGCACTTAAAGCAAGTTTCATGACAAAACGACCAGCAATAAACTGGACATTCGCGGTTTTCGCATGATTCGTGCATGGTCGGTTCTAAATCATCGAAAACGCATACTTTTCAGTATGCCTTTCGGGTAAAGAAAGTTGATGAATGAAAAGAAGAAAAATGATGGGTGATCGGAAAAATCTGAGATCATATTTGAATTCAACAGATCAAAATACATAGGATCCAATGTATCACATATCGGAGACATTTATACAATGAATTTTGAATATACTTCGATCCGGCAAAGCTTTTACAAAACATAATTTTAGGCTCGGAAAACTCGGCTTTACCGGAAATCTGAAACGTGATAGAAAGAAACCGAGGTCATATTCGGATTTGGCAGCTCAAAATACATGAGTAACATGCTACCACGGGTCCAGGAAAATTTATAAAAATACATTGAATGTACGACAAATATGCGTCGGATTTGCTCATTTTCCCGGGATAAAGTTGCTTTCCCGGAAAACTGAGAGGTGAACGGGAAAAATCAAGGTCATTTCCGGACTCATCAGTTAAAAAGACATCGGCATAATCGAATCTCGTAGCTACGAAAAATTTTACCTACATTATGCAGGGGATAGCAGTCGGAAAAATACTGAAAATGCCCGAAAATGGTCATTTTTCCTAGTTAAATCGGCTTTTCCGGAAAATTGGAGGGTGATGGAAAAAACGGAGGTCATATTCGGATTCAGCGTCATAAAATGCATAAAGATCACCTAATTTCGTCCAGGAGACATTTTTTTATTTTGGTTTGTTGTACAGTATAATGAGGCATATAACGAAAGATGGACATTAGCGATTTTCGCATGATTTGGACCACGGCCCCCCCTGAAAAGGGCTTCAAACCTAAAGAACAAACATTTTCACCACAATAATGAGTGTGTCTGACCTCCGAGACTATTTTAACCCAAAAATCTCAAAATTGAAAAAAATGAACATTAGCGGGTTTCGCCGGTTGACGCCAATCAATGCGACGTAAAATTCTGGATTACTGAAATTGGCAAATTCGAAAACGCCTTCAAATGTGGCGTGATACCTTACGCGTTCCGAAGAGTACGTATAGTTGTATCATTGCGCCTTAGCAATGCGATTTAAGATTGATATTAAATCAGCCTCCACGCTGCGGCCTTGTCAGTGTTCCTTTACCGCTGTTGCAGTTTTGACCGTAAATTTTAAGTGTGCTTAAGGTAGGCTTGTATTTGGTGAAAAGAAATTATTTTAGAAGGAATAAAAATAAACAAGCGCAGGAAGAAATATAACTAAAATATATGGACTCAATTTAACAATCAACATAAAGGCATCGAAAAAGCACTAATTTTTTTTTTGCTTCTGAGGAATTGAATTTTTAGTACATGTTCTGAAGAAGGGCTGCAATAGTGCTTAATATTTACTGGCCAGTTTTGGTTGACGCCAATCAATATGACGTAAGGTTCTGGATTACTAAAATTGGCAAATTCGTAAACGCCTTCAAATGTGGCGTGATACCTCACGCGTTCCGAAGAGTACGTATAGTTGTATCATTGCGCCTTAGCAATGCGATTTGAGATTGATATTAAATCAGCCTCCACGCTGCGGCCTTGTCAGTGTTCCTTTACCGATGTTGCAGTTTTGACCGCAAATTTTCAGTGTGCTTAAGGTAGGCTTGTATTTGGTGAAAAGAAATCATTTTAGAAGGAATAAAAATAAACAAGCGCAGGAAGAAATATAACCAAAAAATATGGAATCAATTTAACAATCAACATAAAGGCATCGAAAAAGTACTGCATTCCCTCTGCTTTTGAGGAACTGAATTTTTAGTACATGTACTGAAGA